CACAAAACCTATTAAAGGGTTATTCGACAGATGGGCATCAGTACGTAATATAAATAAAATATCCTCTTCATAGTCAAATATACAGCGTGAAGTTCCACAAGGATCAGTCATAGGCCCTTTATTATTTTATTTGTATACAAATAAGCTCACAAAATAATTGGCCATCAGGAAGTAATCATGCACACTGATGATTGTAACATTCTTCAGTGGGGAAAAATATTTTGAACTAGCTGCAAACTCTTATATCTTAACTGTCACAATGCTTACAAAAATAGATTGCAATTAAACTCAAACAACACAAACTACATATTTTCAAACAAGTAAGTAAACGAGACGACGATAGTATAACTATAACATTTGAAGGCTTGTAACTGGAGCAAGTAAGCGGGTAAAAAAAGTCTTGGTATTTGGCTTAGTGAAGTCTTGTCATAAAGTGGCAATATTACCAAGCTAATAGGCGACTTGTCCAAAACTGTAGGCACACTGTATAACTTCAATAATTTTATCTCGAGCTCGCTGCCTAACAAATGTGTTACTATCTTGTTTTTAAACCTAACTAAGCAATTATGGCGGAACGACAAAATTCGGACGTTTATGAAGTCATTCAAAACTACCCATTTTAACGCGCAGTGGCCCGCACCGCACAAATGCGCCGTTGGAATTCGCTTTCATTCACTTCAATTTGTACCACGAATGAAAATCAAGGAAAGATTTGCGCAAAAACCAGAAATCAGGCTCGTCTAAATGTAAGCTATCGCGATTTGATAATAGCAATAATACTAATATTGCTAATAATATCAATAATAATAATAATAAGAAGAGAAGAAGAAGAAGAAAAAGAAGAATAGTGTTTATTTTATGAGCCCAACAACCATGCGCGACTTCGCATTGGCGCACACAAGAAGACCAAAATAAGAAACAAAACGCTTAGAGAATCAAATGTACAAACGATCATCTCTACAAATAAATAAGATACAAATAATACGTTATTTATTCGCACGTTTCTTAAATTGTAATGCATATTTAAAAGACTGAGCATGCTATTGGATAGTACCGGAATGCAATTTTTAGTTACCTTCCTCTCGTTCTTCTTCGCTGATTTATTAGTTGTTACACTATTTGTGCAATACTTAGAGGGGGGAAGCCCAAAATACGACCTATGTGATAGTGATATTTTGTTATTGTGACATGCCGAGCACGAGTTATCGCTTCTTCGTAACCCGAGATGACTGCGGGACAAGAAGCGTTCTGATCTTATGTGGCGAGGCGTCTAGCCTGAGGAGTAACTTCCACTCATTACGCTATTGTGTGCCGGTAACGTGCTCGTGAAAACTAGCACGATATGTGATATGTGAATAGTGTCATGCGGGAGCGAAACTTTGGCGAAGGCGTATTTTTGTATATTTTTTGGGGGAGATGCCCCATTTTAAGGCTCAAGCGTGTGCATATACGAGTGGAAATTGTGTTTGCCCTTTAGACGCACCTTGCGTCCCAAAGACTACGTCAGTAAGACCTCCACCCTGGAATGATTCAGCCAGTTTTCGTAAACCGATTGGCCTGTCTGCCTCTAAACGTCAAGTTAAATCACCTCGTTACTTGAACTCGAACTCAATTGGAGTTTAAGTCTTTTTGTCACTTGAACTCAAATTGAATTGAATTGCATCGAATCGACTTAACACAAGTTACGTTCAAGTCACTTTGCGACTTAAACACAACTCGAATCGAAAACAGGCACTGAAATGTCAATAAACCTAGTGGTAAAGTATGGTGTTGAGAGCCAACTGGTTCATCGTCTACTACTAGAAGAAGCGACGATATAATTAGAAAAAAATGAGCGAGAACAACTGGGCAAGGGGAACTCGCAACTAAGTGTATTGGAAATAAATTGTATATTTATATGCCCCCCAAAAAATAGTCAAGTTCATGTCACGAACCTGTCTTTTCGTGAGAAATCAAACTCGAATCTCGATAAGGGCTAGAATTATACTACCTGGCGGAGTCATCCCTTAGTGCTCTTCCTACAAATGATTCGTGCTTGCTTTGTAGTAGATGCACTTAATTATGGTCATTTCTTGATATCGAGTTCTTTGCAAAAGGAAAAGAAAGGACTCTGAAGGAAACATATATACGCCTGTACTATAAGAACGTAAGGGGATGGCTACGTTCGCAAAGCTCCCTTTGTCTTTTTCCCTCCCCCCCTTTTTTTTTTGTCTATTCGCTATGCTCCTCTTGTCCTATTGCGCCCCGGGTTTGATTTCTTGAGTAAAATAGACAGATAAACACGACTCTGTTTTTTTTTCATTTTTTCTTGTAAGTGCGTGTGCGTTTTTAATTTTAAATATACTTAGTTGCGAAAAATCACCTTCCGCCTTGGTTGCTTTGGGTTTTTATTTAGGGCCCTTTTTCTAGTACAGTAGACATATGTAGAACTGGTTTATTTACAATTAAAACATTTTATGTTTATAGGTTATGCACAAAGTAACTTCCTGCAGCGTGATGTGCTCAACAGCATACAGCAATATGTGCGATGGCACAGAAAAAAAAAAAAAAGGTTGATGTGGTAACTTTTAAATAAAACGATATTTTAAACACGAACGTAGAGAGCTATGCTGTGCACATGAAATAATAATGGCCTTATTAACATTATAATGCAATTAAATGCAAAGGAGCAAGCGAGCTGGACAAGAATGACGAAATTAATCCCTGGAGAAGGGGAACAAGAGGGACAAAGGACAAACATAAATCTCCAAACACAGCTAGGTGACTGGTGAGCGACCGAAAAAATCCGCCTGGTCCGGGTATCGAACCCGGGACCTCTCCATTACAATTGGAGCGCTCTACCAACTGAGCTAACCAGCGTTATGTTATTGCTAAAATATAGAAAATAGTGAGGACTGAAACTAACTGTTACCGGTCAATATCGTGTTTACATACAAACTCACAAACTTTAGGCACCCTTTTTTGACCAGCAATGCACGCTTCAAAACGCAACATTTTTCTGCAGAATTAGACTCTCTTTATTGACTTATTTAGAGTACGCGAGTTCAGCAACGAATGCACGATTTGACAACTGAGTGAATGCTTGCTCCTCGCTTCCACCATAATCCAAATATTCTGTTCCTCTTTCGGGTAAAAATACTGGCAGCGCCCCGCGAGGCATCTTGCGCTGGAAAAGTGCCATAAAAATTCAGCGGAAAAATCTTGCTATGTACGGAACAACCATCACCCAAACGAGTGCCAAATATACTTTATGCAAGAAAGTTTCCGAATGCCATATTTGTTGTTTTTATGTAGAGCAACCGCGCGCCGAGCGATGCTCTATTATCACAAGGCTAAAATAATCATTAATTTTTTTAAAAACATATCCACATTGCTTTCAGTCGACGTTCAGGAAGCTACTAAAACTAAGAGGAAAAAAAAAGTCCACGCAACATACACATAACACTGCTACCATTCTGTTAAGGCACCTGACACTGAGTGTGAAGAAACTTGAAACAACCAAAAGTGGAAGAGAGAGGGAAAGAAGTGAGTTAGACGGCGTCTCATGGTAAACTTATACCAGCTCGCCTGCGTTCTCACTGTGTTTACGTACAACAGCTTTCTTGAAAATAAACCTGGTGGGAACAGGTGGGCAGTTACGACGCGGACGGCTAAGGAGTACGTCGCCACCTCGCGGAGCGCGAAGGAGTTTGCGCAATTACTCTCGTTCTGCTGAGGAACGAGCTGGATGGGATGACCCGTGAGGCGTTCGCGCGCGCCTAATCTCGGAGCCTATGCTTGGCGCCGGAAGATGTTCTCATTCTTCGCAGTACGGTGGGTTAGTAAAAGAGGGAGGTGTGGCGGTATAGCTTGCGTTTCGTAACGCCCGAGAGAGGTCTCTCGGTTCATCCGCCAGTGTGACTTAATATCCTATATCACCATGGCATAATTTCAAAACGCTTCCTTATGATGGATTACTCTCCTCTGTATAAATTGAATCGGCGCACCGTTCTGGCCCACGCAATTGTCAGACATCCCCTTTTTAGTCTACCGCATTCACAGGGCCGAAGCTACGCCTCAGCACAGCCACGCGCGCACGCACGCGCCTTTGATAAACACGATCATTCTACGGGTAGATGTCAATTTGTCAGTGCTTGTTTACAACTGCCCTGGAGATAAGTTTTACTCGTTACTTTATTCGCATCTATGCTACCGTTGTTTTCAACTCGGCCTCCCGACATTATAATGCCATCTTGATTAGTGTAATCGCGCGAAGATCGAACGAAGCGAAATAATATTTGTTTACATTCTTTGTCTTTTTGTATTCGGGGCTGCTTTTTCTCGGTTTCAAGTCCGTGATTTTGAGTGGGTTGTACGTTTTCCCACACCTTGGGTGCTTTTTCGGCGTAAATTTTGCAATTTCGAAGAAACAACCACGCAGCTTTTTAAAATACGAAAGAGAAATACAGGGCTCGGCCTTGTGATTTTTCCACCTTCAGGGAAAGCGCCCGCGACAGGCATACTGGTAAAGTTCTCGCTACCAATAAGAAACGAAAACGACATAAGGTGTATGGGTTTCGAAGAAGAAAAAAAACAGCCTCAGAGACAGTTCAGTGAGGGCTGTTACCGAGCAAACACAGAACAAAGCTGTGTTCCAAGATTTGGTTCCATGAAGCCTGGGTGTTCGTTATGCAAGGACAGCTCTAATTCGGGGCTGCTCGTCTTCCCCGATCTTGGTGAACGACCAGCTGGGTGGCCACTTCTCGGGGGTTTATCCCTATTATACCTAAAAATACGGATCCCCAGATATTACCGAAGCGACACGTCACGAATGAACCAGTACTCAGTTTACAAACAACTCGGAGCGTGTCCACGCCAAGCGTGCGCAGGCAACAGATTCGCATGGAGGGAAGAGTCCGCGCAAGCGCCGTGGCGACAGAAGCTTCACCCCCGGGAGCGCAATGACGGAGTCGCGCGTTAGTTTCCATTTGTCGTCGATTTTTTTTTTTTTTATCTCGCAGCGCACCTCAACGCCCAGGCCTGTGACTGGCCAAACTCAAGGTGAAGACTCGGGTGTGCACGAGCTTTATGAAGAGTACGCCGATGTCATCACCGAGTTTTCAGACCCGGAAAAAGTCCGGGCCGTTGAACTCGACTTCAATCCCCTGAAAGACATCGGTAAGGAAGCGGAGCCGTAAACAACTGTTGGCCCGCTGCTGTTTTGCTAAGTTACAAGCATGCGCTTTTAAAACGGGTCGAAGAAAAGACGGGGCCTTTGAATCCATTAGTGAATAGGCACCTGAAACCCAAGTAGAAGGCATTATGTATTCGAGACTAACGGTATGGTATAGAATTTCCCATGTTTGAGACCGTCGTCTGAAATATTTGCCGACAACAGAAACGTATTTTTTAGTAGGAGGATATTTTCTATTTTTATAATGAGCACATTTATGCATTAGCACAGCTTGGCATGACGTTGGTTTGGAATTAATCCATTGAGCCCAATGTATTGCAATATGGTAAACGGTAAAATAACTTACCCGGTATTAGTCTGTCACAACTCTGCTTAGTCGTATGGAATATTTGTGTCCCACCTATGTCTCTCTTCTTTTGGCTTTCATACACAGTGTGTGTGGTTGTCGCATTCAGCAGCCGGTCCGATTCGTTAATGGAGTGAAAAACACGTTATTGAGTGCACAAAAAAGAAACGTTTCCTAGTCAGCTTGTTGGAAACGATGCCAGGAAGGCAGTGGGAAGATGGACTATCTACCTAGTAATAGAGCTATATAATCTGCTGGTTTTCAGCAACAAACTAAACCGCTGGACATGCATTTCCTCGCCCTTCGTCCCAAAACGTTCAGTTGTACAAATATGCTGTTTCTGCTTTTTTCTGGGTTTCTAAGTACTAAAAAAGAACGCAAGATTGGTTCAAAGTATTCTGGCTGATTACAGCGTGGGGCAAAGCAATTTTGCTTTGACAGTTCAACTGTGCTGCAGCGAATTAGCAATATTCAAATAAATGCTAGCCGGCACATTTGCGTCTGAGTGCGCCCGAGTGCGTTGCGTTCGTTCGTAACCGCTTACCACCGGTACACAGGCACCATCAATTAGATGGCCCTAGAAAACTTTCAGCCTCCAAATATATTGTCATAGTTTCTACTTATCGTTACTTAACAGTGCGCCTCACATTCCATCAACAATGTGTTAAGCGACTCTTTGACACAGATAGTGCCGAAAGTTTCAGATTAGGATCAGTTGGGAAACCCCTGGGAGGCAGCGGTGTCATTCTGTAGTGCTTCCGATAGGCGGCGATGGGCGCGCTCTTAAAGGGACCATGAAGGCAAATTAATTTTTTTTAAAGGTGTTTTCGGAAGCATTGGGGTCCTGGCATGCAACACAATTTTTTCTAGAACGTTGTAAATCTTATTTCTGTACCTGCAAATAAATTTGCGAAACCGAAACAAACATTCCGATTTCTTCCTTTTTTTCGCCTCTGGAAAGAGAAGTGACATCAGGGAGCACTGTCGGCATCGGTAGGATTCAGTGCACACTCAGTGTGGTTCCCGTGGTTCGCTCTAGTGCACGGCGGTCTGTGAAGAAAACCTGGAAGAAATGGACGACAACGCCGCGCTCGCAAACGAGTTTGAGCTCCCGTTCAGCGACCTCACGCCGACTGAACGTGCTTCGCTGCCGCTGTGGTGTGGGCTCCTTGGGCAAGGAAAATGAGGGAATAGCGTCTTTCCTCAGACGCGGGAACTTCATGTTTTTACCCAGACTCCGACTGACCTGAAGGTGCTGCTCGAAGTCTTCTGGTCAGTAATGCAACGAACAAATCCTGACACCGCTGTCCACAGCTCTACGCAAGACGGCGCGCAACTAAATGCTGCGTATTGCTGCATCGGTCGGCAGTTTATGCAAACTAACGTCGCCCGATCGACCGCACGTCTTTAGCCGACTTTTCGCGCAACTTACTACTGCACATAAACGCGGTATTATTGGTGAGACACCAGTTCGCAAAGCGAACACGAGACGACGCACGAAACCAAAACTAAAAGTCCGCTGCCCCCGGCACTGGTACCTCTTTTCTTTTTTTGTCCATGGTTGCTCGATGCTTGTTACGCACTCCCCGAGGTAGCAGTGCGAGATGCGTTCAACCAATGATAAACGGAGGGATCGCTTTAGATTATGCTTTTATACACGGTGTGAAACCTATTAATTCCCAACTACAACTTCAAAATATTATCCAACGTTCAAATAAACTTTTTTCATCACATCTCACCACCGAAATCGAAACCAAGAGCGCGTCTATCGTTTGAACCAATCGCCAGACGAGGAGCCCGTTGTCGTCACGCTTCGACGGCACACTTTAGTTCAGCTTTCTGCCGCCGCCTCGGTGGGGTCTCAGGCATCGTTCCCGGCACTATTATTACCGCGCCTGTTTGCTGGATTGGTGCGGAACCCAACTTCTGTTCGGTCTAGAACTTGGTCAACAGTATCTGAGACGTGCCTGACATCCATTTCAATCGTCCAATAAAACTTAGAAACTGCCTTCATGGTCCTTTTAAGAGCGTGCTTCAAAGGCTCCGATAGTGCGCTACGCAAAACACGGAACCAGTCTGCTAAGAGTCCCTAGTATTTCTTGTCAGCGGCCCAGTGTACTAACCGGACGCGCTAAATTGCTCATGGCGAAATTGCTCATCTACAGCTGGGAGACAAGTCGCCCGTTGGGGCGACTTGGCTCCCAGCTGAATCCCAAAGGTTGTATGCACATACACACAGCCTACTTTTTCTTTTAATCGGACGTGTGAGCAGAAACGTCCGTTATATCACAGATGCTTTCAGGCGTGCCCAAAAGAAAAGAGCTAAAACCACGGATATGTGCTCCTCGTGGTGAGAAAACATTGTACAATATACTAGGATTTTACTTTTTGCTTTGGTGCCCACGTTCTCTTTAAGGGCACAGGGTAAGTCCTATACTCCCCATGCATTTGAGGCCATGTTGAGGAACATTTTTTTCAGTGACTACTAGGAGTATTCCTGTCATGTATCTATCATTTTGTTCGAAATATTGTGTTTTATCCACTGAACTAGAATTATTTGAACCAATCTAAAATAAGTTTTTTTTTTATATTTTTTTATTCTAGTACTGAAATTTTTGTTCTTTTCATCTATTAAAAACTTTGTATCTCAAAAACTGCTAGGCGCACATTTTTAATTTTAGTTCAGTATTTTAGAACACCCATTTATGTGGTAGGAATAAAAAATCAACCCTCTATAATGTCACGTTAAGGAAAAAATGGTACCTATGTACTAAGAAACACTGTTTTGAGATAATTGAGTTTAAAGTAAAAAAACTGGTGAATAACGAATTTCTATTGGCACCAACAGCCTCAGAGTCATTTTTTTCAATAGCCGCCAGCTTGAAAGGCATTGCTAAAGTCATGTCTTCGCCTTTAGGCTTATCGCCTTGCTTGCCGGGCCTCTTTTGTGACGTGCCATGTCGCTTGGTCCGTAAAGTATATTAGAGTGACGTCAACTTCCCTCAGCCACTTGATGGTTTTCCACACAGGGTTCCATCCACGAAACTTCAAAACATTGGCTTCTGCAATGCTGCCACCATTGAATAAAGGAACAGCATCCAATGGCACCATTTTGTTGTTACGAAAACACAAACGCTTGAATTTACACACGGTACACACCTGGGAAAAACGTGCACAGCGTCTCGTGATTGTCTTGGTTGAAAAAAAGCTATGCAATAGTTGCGAAATAATTTTTTTTAGATTATCTGTTACTGGACAAGCTTTTAGGTCTTGTTTTGATTTTGTTTTGTTGGAGAATTCATCGCTAAACAGGGAGTGTATCCCAAAAGGAGGCATGGTCACCTGCTACTTGCTTTCGGAAGAAGTGATTTTCAGCCCAAAATATAGCTTTCTAAAAACACTGGGACAATGGAAAATGTGCAGAAAGAACTAAACTTTTCAAATTGCGAAAAAAACTAAAATCGATTTTTTTTTCAATTTTACCTTACCCTGTGCCCTTAAATACATTTGGTTCAGCGGTCATTAGTTTTATTTGCTCTACAAGCTCTACGGCGGTTTGTCTGGCCACGGGCCAACACCTTTCAGAGAAGGAGGCTATCACACGACGCGCAAGGGACCGTAATGGAACCGGAGCACCACCGCTTTTTAGTCTACGGCGGGGATCCGCTCCGGCGCACCCCCGCTCTTTCCAACTGGCCCTAATCGAAACACGCTGATAGTGCGTAAAGTTTATTTAAAAAATAATTCAGCATTTTTAGCCTAGTTGTACTCAGCTCGGAAGTGCCCCAGGGGTACCCGATGGATGGCGCCTATGTACCATGTGTTCAGCAGTGAAACGCTGTCCGCACAGGAAATAATTTCTGTTGGGCCCAGTATTTGCTGAACGGTAGCGGAGACTTCCCCTCTACTTCATGTGTACTTTGGGACGTTCTTTGGTGGTGCTTTGGGACATTGTTCGTACTTATAGCCCAAGGCAGGACACAGTTGCTCACACTCTGCTGGCTATCGTCAAGGCCCCCGCTGTTGTTTTCATCAAAATCTCCCGGAAAAAAAAAAGAAGAGGAGGCGAGGAGGAAAGCCGTGTTTTTTGCGAGGTTGGTGTCTTCACTGAAAACGTAGACGCCCGCTGAAACGGTCACGCTTTTTAGGCGTTAACAACACAAAGCGTGTAGACTGTTTGGACATCCCATTACGGGGGAACGCAGTGGCACTCGAGCACATTCTAAGGAAAATGTCTGAGCAAGACTTATAGTTCAGATAACATTATGCGGAGTTTTCGTGTTCTTGTTAGCCAAAATGTTGTTCGTTTGACAGATTTAGTCGTGGAAGGCAAGCAGTGTCCTCGTCGACTCAGCGGCAAGGACAGGGATCGCCACGAACAGGAAGTCATTCTGGAGAAACTGAGGACAGAAGGACTCGTACTGCGACCAGAAAGCAAGGCGTCCGGAGGAGTAGCGTACGTGGTTTGTTGTTTCTTCACTACCAGGGACAATCATGCTAGATACCAGGAGAAATCGTAGCTAACATACTTTTGAAATGCGGGGAGTGCAGGTCGGTTTTTTTTTTTTTTTTTGGTGGGGGGGGGGGGGGGGGCGGGAGAAGGCCAGAGTTTATGCGTGAAGGGAGAGGGAGACGAGAGCGATAACCATTGTGCATTGAAAAGACGCGTATTTCTAGACAGTTTTTTTTTACAGCGGAGCTGTTAAAGGCTTGTTTCCCCAGGATCGTGTCCGGTTCCAAAATCATGTCGACACCCGTGGCTAACCCAACACTCTTGTTGCCGCCGTCGCTCATAGATGGCGGTAGCCGTCCAGAGTGTTGTGCTTGCCGATTGTCTGCTTGCCGCAGTCGCTCATAAATGACAGCAACATTTCTTCGGAGGAAGAAGAGCGGAAACCGAACGAGCGGCGATGTGCGCAGCAGCGCGAATGGTTCCGCAACCACCGTGAGGTAGCTATCGTCTAAAATTACACTGCGTCGAGCAAATTAGATTCCCTTGTGAAAGAAGAGCAGATCGCTCGCCTGGAAAACCACCGCCGAGAAAAGAAGCGACCAGCTCCGCTGCTCTTCCTTCTTCACCAGAGTGGAAAGGCTGATTGTTTTTTTTATTGAAGTTGTGTGTAGAGTGTGGTACACAATGTACACAAAACTCCGATTTCATGAAGGCACGTTCCAGTAAGCGCTTCGTTTGAAGCCTAAAAACAAAGGAGAGCAACTAAAAAAAAACATCCGAAAGTTGCCTCGACATTTTTGTTGATGTTGTTATGACATTAGATGGGCACAAAGTGAACTGCGGAAAACGAGACTTGCAGTTAATGCACGTAATACGACATATTTTAGAGTGTTCTATTACGTAACTTTACGAGGGCAAGACAAGGCATCATCGGTGGTTGGTGGAGTAAATATTAGATGAAATTAACATGTGTTAGTGGTCGAGCGTAAAAAGCTGGCGTGGTTTTCATTGTTTCAAAAGATACTCTGTAGGTTACAAGAACCCAACTAACTTCGTACTGTTTAGGAGTTACCTTCGTACCTCTCCATTGTGCCATTTGCAACAGGACAATACATACGCGCCACTAGCCTTCTCAGTTGACATCCGGATCTTAGATCAGGCTGCCGATAACATTGTGGAATAGAAAAATGGATCTACAAAAAGTCCTTATTCTGCCATAGCAGACTAAATAAACCCGTAATAGAACCAAGCTATAGCTCAACACTTAATGACTATCCTTTTATTTCAGGTTCGAGCTCGTTTCCGCCAGCGCCGCGTCCGACACCGGAGGTCTGCGGCCGCAGGCGCGACAACTTCCTCCTTTGCTTCAAAAACGGAAGAAGACAACGAAAGGATCTGTCGAACCTGACTTCACAGAGAGAAGCATTCGTGACAAGCTAAAGAGGGCCGAAGACCGCAGAAAGGTATAGGCAACGTATATTCTCCCAGCAGCCGGGATAACGATTTCCCGTAATTCTACCGGCAGCCTCCCCCCATTGGCAGTCTGAAATCACGTGACAACTGCGGGCGGAAGGCTGACTTTCTTGTCAACCCGGCATTTCGTGTAACCACGTTTCATGGACAACTTGTTGTGGATACAGGTTTAATGGATGCAAGTTTCGTTTTCACTAACGTTTCATCAATGCTCGTTACGCGAATTACGCGCTGTAGGGACATTTTGTTCCGCGCACGTCACTGGGGCGCGTGTTAACCTACCCTGCCCACCCGTTCACGCCGCTTCGCGGCGACAGTCTGCGGCGGCTATTTAGAAAAAAATGCTAACCCCCCTGGCCCACCCGGTAACGCCACCTCGCGGCGAAAGTCTGGATCGGCTCCGTACCGAAAAAAAGCTAACCTAACCTGTGGATGGATGGGCCAAGGGGAGGCGACTGCCGGAAGAATTTTGGGGAAATTATTCTCCCTGCTGCCGGAACAATAGACACTACGAAGGTATATACGCTCGAGCCACACTGCCTTATACACTTTTTCCACAAGCGCGCAGCCATTTTGAATATCGTAGCTGCTGCGGTAAAACATCTTTATAATTTCTCCATGCTGCTGGAATGTGTTTATGAGGAATGCGTGGTACTAGCTCATTCTTGTTTCGCCTCACCTATATAGTCTCGCATATTCCAGGTTGAAAAGTTTTGTTATTTTTTGTCCCGCATACCGTATACAGAATCCACGTGAGCGAGAACAAAAGAAAACCGAAAACATTCATTGTTCGTATTCACCTCGAGAACCGAAGTAATACAAGTCCGAAACCTCGCGGAACGTAACTAATTTTCTCCCTAATGTAATAGAGTTTGAAGGTGGGCTAATCGGTGTATATTGGTAACAAGACAAAACAGAGAAAAAACGAAAAGAAAAAAAGACGCATGGAAAAGAAGAGGAAATACGCAAATACAGCGTTGACTCACAACTTTGGTTTCTTTCTCATCTTCCTCAGCAAATAGAAGCAATGAAGTGTGCTTTTATTGATTACTATTCCCTCTTTATTGCTTCTGTGTATTAAATCAGATGAGAGAGAAAACGAACTCGTGAGTCAGCGCTGTTTGTGTCTTTCGTCTCTCCTTGTGTTTTGGTTTTTCGGGCTGTTTTCTCCTGTCCCTAGTCATGTGGTCAATTAAGATATTAGTAGATACAACTTGGATTATTTTTGTGATATTTTATCGTGACGTAATATTGGGTTCTAATGAAATGCGTGCACTGGAACGCGTTGCCGTCGAGATATGCTGCACCTCCAAAAGCAAAACAAAAAAAAAAACAAAAAAACTGCGGGGTGGAAAGTAGGGCGCTACCAGGGTGTGCGTCCTACTCCGATGTGTTTGAACCTGGCCCAGCTCATCCCAAGATTCGACGCTGTGCTGGTAGTGCCCTGGAAGCTCCGTCACGATTCGCATTTCATTCGATCCCCGTGGCAACTGTTTTCGAAGTCCGAAAATCACTGTTTCCTGTTTCGACAACCAAGTCATGTAAGCAATACTTCGCGCAACACATAAAGAATGCGGAAAAAAAAAAGGTATTTTCTTTGATGTGACAACGAGCATAGATAACCAGGTAGGGTTTATATTTTTACATCATATACCGCAGGTCGACGCGGCAAAGATTGAACACGAGTGGCGCGTCAACGTTGGGGAGGGACTCGTGTTCTCTACGATTTTGACGAGTGCCAGCCGAACGGTGGCGCAGCGCTCGTGTCCGATCGGTGGTTGGTGCTCACTTCCCGTGGGTGGCGGAAAATCCAGCACCACGGCCTGGTTATGTCGTAAATGTTGGACCCAGCCGCCGGAAACGCGCCCGTTGTTTACATAGAAATTCGACTATATGAGTCTCGGTGTTGGTTGTCTTAGGGTGGAAAGTTGGGCGATAGGTGGTACATAATTAACAAAAGAAAAATAGCGAAAAAACAACAACGGAGGACAAGATAACGAAGTGTACAAACAGAGCGCTGACTCTCAATTGACTTATTGGAAGAAAGCAAAAATTAACACGAATCGCGGATCATCAAAAACATCAAGCCACCGCCGTACCGCAGGTGTCAGACTTGTAGAAGGATGCCAACTCTTTGTCAAATAATGGGATGAAAGGCAAACTGACGCGCCTATCTTTTTGTTTGGAAATATAAATGGCCTCTAAAATTTCTTTAGTCCTTTGTTGACCACGTCGTCCTAAGATACTGGTTTTATCAAGAACGGGCGTGCAGCAGTTGCCTGTTGGCGCTGATCTAACCGATAGAGGTTAAAATCTCAATAGAGCTTGCTCTCTTAGCCTCTCGTGTACATGAGCAACAAAAATCAAAACAGCGAGAAAAAAATTAATAAAAAAACGGAAGACTAGAAGACAAAGTGAATCAACAGAGCACTGACTCTCAACTGAGAAACTTTAGAGGCCTATTATATTTCTAAGTTTAAAGACAGGTGCATCAGTTCGCCTTCAATCTAATTTTTTTTTTGACAGAGTTGGCATTTTTGAGCAGGTATTACACGTGCGGGGAGGCGGTGACTTTATGTTTTTGATGATTCGTGATTCTTTTCGATTTATGCTTTCCGCCAATAAATCTGTGGAGAGTCAGCGCTCTATTTGTACACTTCGTCTTCTTGACCTCGGCTGCTGTTCTTTTTTAGCTCTTTTATTTTTTGTTAATCAGTTGTCTCATCTTAATTTCAAGGAATGGCGCAGTCTTGCTTTGATTGGATCCGAGAGTTCTTCCGCGTAAAAAATTATGCGATGACACATTTATTCTGACATAAAGAAGACGTTGCTAGATTGTTGCTAGATAGCCTTAAGGTTGTACCTACATTGTTGGAAGATAGCCTTAGGATTGTTTCTAGATTGTTGGAAGATAACCTTCAGATTGTATTTCAAGAGTTCTTTATTACTAGGCTAGATCGAACGTTTTGTGTCCTTGTATGTTTTTGGTGCAGAAACAAGAACGAGAGAAAGTGAAGAAAATACAAGTGTCCAAGGACAAATCCACGCCACTGAAGCCCGTTGAAGAGACAAAGCTTTTGAAGCAAGCGGTCAGGATGGCTGCAACTGTGGAAAGCAGGTAAGCAACTTACCGTTGCTTATTTAAGTTGCCCTGTTAATAAAATTAATAAAACAAAATAACAAAAATGCATACAATACCATCCAGGAACAAACTAGAAGCCATCCGTGCTTGATGTAACTACCTCAATGGTACGTTTGTTACCACGCTGTGGCTTCCAAATTACTCCTTTCCCAGTTTTGTTTACATTCGTCAAAACATTATTTCCAGAAAGACATAAAATGTGGACAAACGATATAACATAACCACACAAGCCTTAAAACAAAGCGAGGTTTACAAATATAATTGAACAAAAGTTGGATTGATAGGGTTTCCGATGTTTGGCATTAATTCGTCAAAAGATTCGGCGTAAACAAGGAACGGATATTTCACAAGAGTAAAAAACTGTATTTTGATTAGTGTTCACGCTACATATACACATTGGGCACGACGCCAGAAGGTGCGCAAAAGCCGAGCGCGAGAAACGCGGCATGGTGAATAAAAACAAAGCTATCTTTGATTATGATTAACTGGTCTTTCATGATTCGATAGCCAACATTATTACAAACGGTCGCAGGATGACATGAACAGAAATAAGTAAAATAAAACGCCGAAAGGTATCTTTCATATCTGGTAAATAATTGCTCCAGTTATTTGTCTAAAACACTGACGCCATTTTATTACTCTTTTTAAAATAAATACTGAAATCAATGAACTTGTGTGTATGATCTACTGTATACTTTGCCTCCGCTAGATGACGAAAGCTATCGGTGTCTAATGAGGGAATTGGAAGTAAGCCGCTTACCTGTGTCACAGCAAAATCGTTCAGTTCACCGTGTAGTCTCTGGCTTATTTTCCGTGCATGAGCGACATAAATTGTATTTGCATAGTGGCATACTACCTTAGCATTTTCCCCAGAAGTAAAGTTCATCCAGTACTATTCTGAAGATAGTAAAACCCACTGCATTTTCTTCATAACCTTATTCCTCGAGTCTTGCCAGCAATGGATATTTCGTCTTGAGAAATAGAAGGTTAGTCATGTTGCGTTGATTAGATTGGTATCTACCATGTAAATATTAATTCATCGTATTTTGCATTGAACTGAAACAATGGCTCCTTCGTTCTTTCGGCATGTTAGTTTCTCGCTCACTTTGATCGTGGTAGTTTTCAAAAAATTGATCACGTAAAGTAGTTGGGTATTCTAAAGTAATTTTGCTGAGCATTAAATTGAAGTTTTTAAAGGCGCCCAAAAATTAAAATATCAAAGAAAATGATGTGCCCCTTGATTTTCGATATTTTATGCTAGCAAGGCGACCTGGGCCAAAGGCTGCATTTTACTGTTTCATATTGTTAGAAAGCAAACTACGTTGTTGGTTGCATGAGCGTTAATGAGAAAGAACTGGAATAATGCTCATCCCTAGTGAATTATAAAAAAAAAAAAGTAGTTTCAATTCCAGCCTTCCGATTATACCAGGTGTCTTCGGTTAGGTATCTTATCAACGACACTGCCTTCTAACTGGCTCTTAAAGAATACAGCTTTTTTTTTCGTTTGCAAAATCTATTAGTGCAATTTTTGTTTTGTACTTTACATATGTCGACGTGCAATTGTATTTAGATTGAGAGTAATGCCTCTGTGTGAATTAGAATAAAGTTTTGTTACCGTTCATCGAAAGTTTGTGTTCTCTTAAGTTTCAGTGGGTAAAGTAGCCACTGTCAGATCGACACCTTCTGTATAATCTATGCCTTCCAGACGGCGTAAAGTACAACGTGGGGCCGCCGTCCGAGAAGTTGCGTGCCGCCGCCGTTGCTTCAGGGTGGGGGCACCCCCTTCGTTGCAGCAGGATAAAGAGCGTAGATGGAAGAGAGGGTCCATCTCGAACCAGGGGCAGCGTTTGCAATATATTGGCTGATACCTCCTGAGGCGAGAGGTCGCAGGTTGGTATGCGCTAGATTTTCACGTGGCGAAGAGGAAAGCAGGTCTTGCGCGGATTGTATTGCAAAACATGGCCAATAAACCACTTGATCGCAGTGGAGGAGCTATAAACTCTCTCTTATAGAGGCTCTCAAGAGGCTAACGTTAAGGCTTTGGGTGCGACGCGTCATCAGCGCGTGCCTTAGAGAGCCTGTATTACAGAGCTCCTAACTGGTCAGTAGGGGTCACGTGGTTTATGGGCCACATTTGTAATACGAGTTGCCAGGAGGTGACGAAAGGGTTGATCGTTTTCAAAGGCCTACATCTTTCCTCCTGCTTTCCTCCTCGCCACGCCAAAACGCAGCGCATGCGCACTTCCGACACACCTCCACAGGATGCGTCTGTCATTAATTTGGAAACGCTCCCCATGAATTGAGATAGAGACTTTAAGTGAGCTATGCTTAGACTATTGGCACTCCGTTTCCCGATCTGCTAGTGGAAGCCCCCATCTTGGTGCTTACAGCAGAGTCGACGAAACTGTCGATCGTCACAACTTAAAAATGCGACTCTCTCAGTTTTACACAGGGTGGTAGGAAGCTCAAGCACAGGTGATATCGTTTGCTCCGTCGCGGACGGTTCCAACATTTCTGTAGGACCAAAAAACGTTTCATCCGATTTTACGTAAAGCTTAAGAAAAGTGGCAACCATGATATTGTCACGAATGACAGATGATGAGACAGGAGAAAACGGAATGGACTAAAGATTTAATGGAGGCGACCTAGTGTCCCTCTACTTCGTTTCAGCTTCGGTCCGAGCGGGGACGATGTTATGAGTCAAAGGGCCAATCAAACAGCGCAAAAAACGCAGCGCCATGGTGTGCTTTCTGCGCTTGATAAGACTAGCCGGCGGAGGAGCGCGTACAGAGAGACGGCAAATACCGGCTGGTTCTATCAACTGCAAAGAGCACCTTATAACGTTGTGCCTCTTTCGCTGTTTGATTGGCCCTTCGGCTCATAACATCGGCTGCGCTCGGACCGAAGCTGAAACGAAGTATAGATAAGAGCGTGCTGCAAGTAGCGACATTCTTTGAAGTGCCGACTGCGTGACGATGCAGGTTCTAGGAAGCGAATGGCGGTGCACAGCGGAGGTCTAAACTGAGTCACACCATTTTGATCCAGCGGAATGTGCTTTGTCATTTGTATTAGCTGTGGTTGTCGTTACTTGTAAAATAAGTATCAAGGGACTTCAAAGCAAACTTGTGCTAGAAACAAAACAAAAACACACACACGCACACACACACATAGGGAAAGCAACAGCGAGCGTCGACGGCGGCAGCAGCAAACAGCGATGCGTTCGCGTAACTGCTGGTTCTCGCGAGAGAAAATCAGCGAATGAATCGGCAATACAGCGCTCGGCTCTTTATCAACTATGGTTCGACCTACCTAGAAGGCTCGGGAAAGAACTAGGCCGAGACCAACGTTACTAGAACACACAGTTGAGAAACTCAACTCGCCGTCGAAACCTGGGCCGATGGCGTCCACCGAGACCGAGCTAAATACGACAACAGCGCCACTCTTTATCATTTGTCTGTACTCTGGTCACCTTAAACTTTTAGAAGTCATGTGTTTTGCGTAAAAACAAACGAAAAAGACTCTTTGTATAAAATTTGTTGTTAGTTTAGTACAAAATGAAGGGCGCGTGTTGTTTTTAAAATCTTTAGTTTGCAAGGTTTTGCGGAACAAGTAATATTGTTGTTATACTACCATGCCTCAGCGGTGCCTTCAGGTAGCGCGTCCCGACCTAGGTGCATTTTAACTTCGGTAAAAATTCGCGGCGCGTCCGCCGGGGAGACGGGGGTGGCACCCCTGTAGCCTCATCCGCTGTGTCTGTTTCGGCGCCAAAACGGACGATTAAAGCCAAAATAGACGTCACGTCCAGTTCCTCGAGTGGCCGCTGCGGGAGAAATGGCGGCGTTGTGTTCGCCATTAGCTCGGTTCTCGAAGACAGATCGGGGAAACTTTTTCAGAGCAGTCTCTATGGCAGTTTCCCAACTGAGTGGTTGAGTAACGTTGGCCGAGACTGACTAGACAAGGTCATTCTGGCCTCCTTATCGTTTATGCTCGGTGTAAGGGTGTGCGCGAATCTTCTAGATGAACGGAGGAGCGTATCTTCTCGATCATGCACGCGGAAAAAGTTAAGCGCCAAGATGAATAAACTCTCATTACTCTGAAGCCTAGCTCAATTAGCGGCTCTAGTTCGAGGTAGACCCTCTCTTCAATTAGCTTTCTATAGCCTCCCAACGTAGGCAGCACCGTCTTGCGGCGCACACAGGCCTTAAAAGAGGAGGATGAATAAGTAAACCCGACGGCCTCGGGAAGCACTTCCGACAGGCATAGTGTATAGAAAAAGCGTTGGTCAGACATACACAATGTTGTTTTTTTCCTTGACAAAAATAACCACATTAGCGAATTTCGATTTCTACAACTTGAATGTAAACAACAAAAAGACGATCATGCTGACATCTGGTATATTGGCCATGAACCAGAATGATTATATTGATGTTGGCGTCGAAGCAGGATTGCTTTATTAATTTTTTTTAAAGAATACTGCGGCTCACATCTGTAAGCCATAACACGGGTGTATACATGGTGACTTGGTGTGATGTACTTAAAGCACTTTCCTCGTGGCAGAAGCGATTGCAGCAACAACATATTAAGTGACGGAAGGTTTGCCATCTCGTTAAACAAGGAATTCCAAACATTAATCGCCCGAGGAAAGAAATAATATTTGAAGACATTGTGCCTAATTCTATATTGTTTAATAGTGCTAATATGATTTTGTCTAGCTAAACCTCTTGTTGAGAATTCCATGTATCTTTTCACTATTGACATTAAAGGTCCCCGTTTAATGAAAAAATATATAAATTTCTCAATCTATTTATTTTCGCTCTAACCTCCAATGGCTGGATGTTGGCTTGTTCCAGTAAGCTTGACGCAAAACACAGTGTATCTGAAGCTATTAAATATTAATCTCCCTGCCAGTTTTCGGTGGCGTTCAAGTTTATTATTCCTATCTGCTGTGTGCGGGTATACCAAACCGTGTGAGCGTGTTCCAGTATAGGTCGTATCAGTGATTGGTAAGCAGTCTTTTTTTGTTTCGGTATCCGCGAGTTTTAAGGTGCGTCTAAGAGTGTACGATTTTCCCCGGGCTTTATTTCCTGTGTCGTCCATATGCTGGTTCCAAAGTAGTTTAAAAGTTTTTGTCACTCGAAGACATTTGTATTGGTCAACACGTTAAACGGGGTTCGCATTTATTTTAGTAGCTCGATTTCAAAAGATTCTGCTTCCAGTTTATTGTTTTTGCCAAGGTTTTATCGTAGTTTATTTTCATTTGCCACTTGTTTTATCATTTTTTAAATTTCATTAATGTCTCGTTACGTATTACTTGATCTTGGGGTGATTTTATTTGAGAGTAAATCACACAGTCATCAGCGAATAATTTAACGGGAACATGAATGTCCTTAACGATATCATTAATATAAATTAGGAATAAAAGAGGCCCCAGCACGGAACCTTGTGGTACCCCCGATGTTACTGGAAGTAGTGAGGAAATCTTGTCATCGAGATGTATATGTTCCGTTCTGCTAGACAGAAAATAGACCACCCTCGTAACTAATTGATAATTTTTTAGAATATCGGAATGGTTCAGGAGACGTTTAAGATACGATACGTGATCGAACGCCTTTAAAAGGTCATGACAAGCTAGGCCTCTCTGAATCCTAGCATTTATTGAAAATGAAAGCTCATGGAATAGCTCGATCATCTGAGTACCCGTTGATAATGATATTTTAAAACCGTGCTGGAATGGAGTTAGAATACTATTATCATCATTATATTGAATCATGTGGGAAGATCTTATGTGTTCAAGAATCTTGCAACACGCACTAGTTAAAGATACAGGCCTATAGTTTGATGGGCCTGTATAAGTACACGTTTCAATTTATTTGCAGAGAGAAGCGACTGGAAGATATGGTCCAGAAATTAAAGGAGAAAGAACTTCATGCCAACGCAGTACGCCGAAGAAAATTTCTCCTCAGCGATCCCCACGTGTCGTCAACCGACGTCTCCTACTGACTGAGAAACTCCACGTCTTCAATTCTTCGTGTTTATGACCGCTCTAGGTACGCCTAAAACATGTGTTTACCTGCGAACTAGGTTCCGAAGAACCAATGTGTGCCATGAGCACCGAAAAATTATATTCTTTGACTGAAAGTACGAGCGGTGATTGAGAATAAGTTAGCCTACCTTGGAATGAATTGGAGGATTAGAACGAAACTTCGCCAGTTTGCATCCTATCGCAGAAATGTGGGGCCACCATTGCTGAGAAGCGTTCTAAAAAACTTTAAGATTGCTTGATTTTGCTCCAGGATAACGCGCTCCATGAAAACTACTGTGCCTCCTTGCATCAGATACATGAATGCGACTTCCAACTCCTCTCCCGCCCTCTATACTCGGCAGATTTGGCATTGTCTTTTCAGACTTTTATCTTTTTTTCTGCAAGCAAACGACATTTGAACGAAGAGCGTCTTTACAGTGACGACGCCGTCATGGACGACCTGCGTGAGTCATGTGAGGACAGAGACCAACATTTGCTTTCTTCCGGTTGGCTGCACTGGAGCACCGGTGGAAAAAGTGCATCACACTCAAGGGAGAACTCCGTAGCAAAGTTATAAAATGTCATTAGCCTGGAAACAACTCCTTCACATTAAGACCAAATATTTCTCAAAGATCCCTCGTAACCACTTTAAATTGATTCAAGGAAACTAAGCGAAACGCTTTGAAATGATTGCAGCCTGACTGTTACCCCAATATACTCACTTCGGTTGTTCATTATGCTCTTATGTAGTTAGCATCAATTATTAACAGACCTTCCCACTTGGACTGTGGTGCATCGATGGTATTACTTATTAGAAGATAGAACTAGATCATTCCGATGTCAGCTACACACGCTGTGAGGTAAACTTGATAAATGGTGCCTCTTTTTTCCGCCCGGCTTATAAATTGTTCCCGTAGCTGCGCAGTAGTTTCGCAATGGGATTCAATGGAGACGTTAGAATGCTAATGCGAGCTTGTGATACATTGAGTTCCTGAGCTCGAATTTGTGGTTGTGATCCCTTTAGTTTGCACACACGACTGTCCCTGCGGCTTGAGAGCAGTGATGTCTTGGACTACAATTCGTACATTCCAAAAGTTATTTTCATAAAACCTCCACAACATGGTTTGATCTTCATTTCGTGAAATTTAGTGGTGGTTAGGATGACGACTGAACCAACGTTGGGCCAACGATTCTCTCCAAGCTCCGACATTGGCATGGTGCTAACTGTTATTTTTTTCCAGGGGAGTATAGTGTACATATTTTTCTGCCTAATATGTTAAGCGCTGGCCGACTCAAATATACTTACGTGATTAGATACTCGCTCGCTGCAAATAAACGATTTTCGATCATCTTCCTGTTTTTAGCGTCAAAATGCGAGATCAATATAAAGAGCGTGTCTCACTATTGAAGCATAGAAGTTCTGTCTCACTTCTCGTGTCTAGAATATCTAGTATAATAATGTCATGTACATGGCGAAAACTCTCATTAGACGCGTTCCCAAACAATGAGCTGCAACTCTAGATCCAACATCTTGCTACGCCTGTGGTTCCGCAAGCTTTTCTATGTCTCGATTTGTCAAGGAAATGAGAGACCGTACGTAAACGTTTTATACTCAATTTAATGTTTAGCGTACAACACTGTCAAAGCTGCTCGCTCGCGCCTTTAAATCAATATAGCTTTTCGTTTACACGAGAACGCGTGCAAATCAGACTCAAGACAGAGCAGCTTTGACAGCGTTATGCACTAGGGATGAATCGGAGCATAGGATTTCTCAAAAAAAGGGGGAAAAAACTCCCAGTTCTCATGGACGGTTCTTCACGCTCTTATTATCACGGATAGTATAGTAGCCGATGTTTTAATAATACCAAGCGACCGTGGACCGCCGTGCCAGCCAGCGCCGTGCCGCGGAGAGGTACGACGATACGGGCGAGATTAGGCGCTTGCGCACAAATCTCCTTCCGCTGCAAGCGCCGTCTGCTAGGCTATTTCGTTGACCACACACAACCCCTTTTCCTTACCTGCTGGCAGAGATAACCACCTTTAAGCAAAGAACTTAACGCTTGCTTGCGTGATAGTGCTCAGGCGTAACATAAATCTCGCGCCACTGTTTATACCGCACAGACATTTTATCTACCAACAGATAAGAGTACCAGAGAGTCAGAGAAGGAAAGAGAAGCAGGCGTGGAATAAACGATAATATCAACTAGCGCACTGGGCTTCTTTGCTACAGAGCAGGGGCTCTGTGCGGTCAGCGGAATAACCTAGCAGATGACGCTCGCACCGTAAAGAGCATTGTGCGCACGCGCCTAATCTCTCCCGTATCACCGCACCCCTCCGCGGCAAGGCGCTGGCCGGCCCGGCCATCGACGTTCGCTTGATATAATTAAAAATTGGGCCACTGTACGTCAGATGTCTTAACAACTTCTTAGTGCTGAAATAACAAGTCAATTCAAAAGTCGATACGTCGGGTCTGTGTGCGAATTATATATCCATGAATAACACGCCAAAGTAAATGAAGCAGTAGGCACGGTTCAGTTCGAAACCCTTTACTGAACCGCTGGATTCGTAACAGGCGCATAGCCACTCATAAGTTTATTCATTACATCGATACTTTGAAAACACTCCAGTTTTATCTTTCGTTTTTTTCTTCTCGTGGGCCAAATTAAACTCTAACAGAAAAGCGAGGTATACATTTGGAGAAATGGTCTCTGGGCCTTTTAGGATATACACAGGAGCAGGAACAGAAACATGAACATAAACACAGGAGAGAAGCACTGATATATCATTAGGAGTGGGGCCGCGCTCAGGAACACAGCAGAACACACACGCACACACAGCTGTCTTTGTATATCTTTTCCTGTTCTTCTTCATCTTCTTCTGGGGCAATAGTAAATCTTTTTCGCTAGTGTATGTAGGATAGAAGCAACAACAGTCGGCGTTAGCGGGCCGAGGTATGTACAGGTTTGTCTCTCCGGATAGGCCTTCCAGAGAAGCGCAGGCGAGTGCGAAAGCGGAACAGTCGGTTCGGAACACTCGGGTAGTTTATGAGAAAGAATGATAAATGGCGGAAGAGAGAGAGAGAGAGAGAGGAGATAGATTAAATAGATAGAGATAGAGAAAGAAAACATCGAGTGGTACCCGAGAATACAGCATCTTCGCGTTTTGAGAGCGCAGCACCTCCGCTCAAGCAAACAAAGGATGCCACTTCGGTTACCTAAACGCGATAGAATGGGGCGACGGGAGCTGCATCATTAAACTCCCTTGACCTCCAAAAACAACGCAAGGCTATTACCAGCATAATGTACAGTTCCGTTTTTTAGATTTAAAATCACTTCGTTTGAATTGTTACCCATATTATGTTGCCGCGATACATTCATGTATGTTTACCGTAACACTTTAACTCTGTTCAACGGACGCTGAGCAGTAAAAGTATTGAAAGTCAGCGCGAATAATAATCTTGAGAGAACGTAAAAATAACTGCTACAAAACGTTTTACACTCAAGCGTTCGGTAACACACAACATCTTGGATGTTCCTGTCAATGCTTCGAGATCAGGGAATGCAGAAAGAAATGTCGACTGTATAGACATTAAAACACCCAAGCTGTCTTGTTCTAAGCCTGTTGAAATTATTAGTGCCATTGCCGTTTACTCGATCATCAACGCGTGCGCATCAACAAAACCGCGACAGATGCTGGTTTCTCGAAGATCCACTTCTCAACCGCAGACAAAGTAACACACCACTCATGTCGACATGGTTTCTTCAGCATAAATGTGACAGGAGACCACATGCCCTCTGTCTGGCAGAAGAAAAACAAGCAACGTCATCTGGGCAAGGAAATTGTGTTTTTGCATGGCTCACAGTTTCACTTCACTTTCCGCAGAAGGTGTGTGCTAAATCCTGCGAAGAGAAGAATACATCTTGAAGAGTTTGTTGAGCAGAGGAGGGTATCACCGCACGACGGGTGCGCACGGTTGGTTGAACTCTTCACCATCTTATGTGCGTCGACTTCACCGTACCGTGGCTCACGTTTGGCGATGATGTGGCTGTCGTAGTCGGATGGTGCGTAGCGAGGTGGGTGCATCGGTCACACTTGAGGGTATTTTTGCTCTTGGGCAAAAGCAAAGTACTGTTTGGTTTACGTAAGTGCAGGCGTTGTGGAAAATACAGTTGCATTGTTTGATATGGGTGGAAGAGGCTTAACTTGCGTCATCACAATTCCGTGTGCTTCTGTGGGCGCGAGGGCTGTGACGGTGCTGAAGGCGGTACACGGGCTAGAATATACATCCTCAGGTACGCAAAAATAAACAATAAAAAACACCTATGGGATATTGTGCACAACCTCGGTGCAGTTTCTTAGTGCGCAAAAGAGAAACAAGGGACACAGTGTAAATATGGCGTTCGCAAGGCGAAAAACAAGAGAACTAATTAGTAGTTCAAAATATTTCGCACATCTCGGTAAGAAAACTTGGTGTGTGAAATGAAGCACAGGTCGTTGGAAATCAGGTTCAAAGAAGCTTCGAATTACAATATAGGTGAAAGTAGGAAAACTTATTAGGCTAACTTTATATTTCCCATACCCCCTCCCCCTTGCTGAAACAATCATTTTACTACTACTCGGGCCACGACACAAAGACAAACATTGTTTCTAAATGCAAGCAAAGTACTAAACCAAGATTAAAAGATGAATCAAATAGTTTTAACCCAGTAAGTCGCATTGTTTATACAACACAGTGCACAGGTTCGCAAACACTGACGTTACTTACACACATTGTTGAAAACACAGAAAGTTACGCAGTCTACAAACTTGACGCAGAAAACCGCATAGGATATGATGGGTGTGTTGGACTTGTAGTGAATGGCGGCAGTGGCGGCTCTTCCGTAGTATTCTGCATTAAAACTGAAGGTGTGTGGATTTGTGAGAATCCAACGTGTTTAGAAAGGTACCGCCTCTGTGGCTTATGTACTAAACAGTGAAT